AGGGTCAGAGAAGGTCAGAGAGGGTCAGACAGGGTCAGAGAAGGTCAGAGAGGGTCAGAGAGGGTCAGAGAGGGGTAACACTGTGAATACACACAGCCATCACACTCCAGGAGGTTTGGAACCAACAATGTACTGCGTGATCTACAGAACCAACCAAGGAAGTAAACAGCTGATGGTCAGTTTGGAGAACCACTGTCCCACCTGTCTAACACTCAACAGCACACCCTCCCTCCTCCTCACCCCCCACCCCCCACCCCCCAGGCGTTTTACAGGTAGGGCAGTGAACCAATTCTAACGGTTTGACATGTTAAATATATAACATATATGCACTGAACAACCAGTACGACATGACTTCAATATACTCAGTCCCCCGTCTCCCCCATCTCCCCCGTCTCCCCCGTGTCCCCCAGTCTCTCTCCCCTCCCTCTCTGTCAGTACAGGAAGCTGTGTGTCACAGACAACTACACCCTATTATCCAGAGACCAAGAAGAGCATGTCACCTGGTCCAACATCTGGTGCAGACCCCACCATGCACCTTCACACACACACACACACACACACACACACAGGTTTGTTTCAGCAGCTAGAACTCAGCAACGGTTTCAGTTCAGTTTCCTGACACACGATGGTGGGACAATCACTTGACTGGGGGGGGGGGGGAGGGAGGGGGGCAGAGGAGAGGGAGGAGAGAGAGAGAGAAAGAGGTAGAGGGGGAGAGAAGGAGAAAGAGAGAGAGAAGGAGAAGGGGTAGAGTGAGAGGAAGAGAAGGATGATGGGAGAGAGGGCGAGAAAAGAAGGGTGTGAGAGAGAGAGAGAGAGAGAGAGGTTGACTTTGACCTTGTAATGTTCTTCTCCAAACACAGTGACACCTTTTCTCTGTTCCCTCCTCATGTTTTCAACATCTCTACACTGAGATCCAGAAATAACTCCGCCACCGTGCCCCACCCCCACCCCCCTCACCCACACCCCGCCTCCCCTCCCCTCCCCCCCCTCATCCACCTCCATTCCTCAGCTCCTGCAGCAGAGCTGATAAAAAGCAAACAAACCCAGACCCTCGGACTGACTCACAGACTGACTGACTGACAGACTGACAGACAGACAGACAGACTGACAGACTGACAGACTGACTGACTGACCGACAGACAGAATGACAGAAGACAGACTGACTGACACTGGTGAAAAAAACAAAGATAAAAAGTTGGAGCTTCACCTGTTCTTCTCCGGGTGCAGCTGTGGGTTCACCGTCCAATCAACTTTTCTAATTCCATGATGGAAACACCTCCACTGTAACTCCGCACCGAGGAACTCTCCGTGTAGTCAATATAGTCCTCACGATAATGTATCGTGGGTGGTGTGTACGATAATCTCCTCCGGTCGGTGTTAAATTCCGCTCAGGTTTAGAGTTCGAGCCAGTTTCGCAGCGGGGTGCGTTCGATTTGCATTCTCACAGCGCCCTACGACTGCATCCCCCACTTCTCCCCCCTTTGTCGATCTCTCTTTCTGCGTGTTTCGCCCATGGTTTCATTCCTCCATCCGTGCGTCGATCTCGTAATTCCGGGCAGAATAAAACAAATCGGCGAGGCCGCCTTTCTCCACCTTTTTATCGCGTGGACAACGTTCCCTTCGTCTCCTGGCGGTGTCCTCCTCTCTCCATCGACCCCCCCCCCGCCGACAGTCGCAGGTGTGATGGGAAAAATCCACAACTAGAAAAAATGTTGAGCTCTATTCCAGGAAAATGGACGAAAATGATCATTTACCTCCACACACGGAGAGACGGCGGAGTGGCTGGGTTTTTGAACAACTCCGATGATTCCACACTGTAAAATTCCGGGCTGTGAATGAGTTCTAACTCTTTTGTTTCCGGAATATTGGATTTTCACTTCTTCAAGCCGACCTCCAGTCTCACCATCCTCTCTCCCTCTCTCTCCCCCCCGGTCTGCGGGTGTTAACGTGCCTCACGCACTGATATCCGACTCACCGCGGCTCCTCTGCAGTCGAGACCAATAGCAAAGAATATGAAAAACATGACACTCCGTTGAAAAAGTCCAAATTCAGTTCCGGTAAAAGTCTCCCGCGGTGATTCACATGTCCAAACGTTTGAACCGGGCGGTCCGCAGCTCCACGTCCTCCTCCTCGAACCTTCTCCCGCTCACTTGATCCTATAGCGCAGCGGGCACGGAAAACGTCCACGTTCATAAGGTATGACAATGCGGTTTCCGGTTGCTTTTCAGAATAAAAGAAACCATCTCCTTATTTACCCAAATGCCCCGACAAAACAAAACATGAATATTCCAGTTGTTAGTTCGATGATTAACGGGAGTTTTACTGAGAAGCAGCAGGTTCTCAGGAAATACGTTCATGCTTGTGACAAAATATTAAGTTTAACACAAATACATGATTTGTAATCAACATTTCTAAACATATATAAATATATATGCAGACTCAGCTCTGAGAAACTTCTGTATTTTGGCATCCCTGAATCCCCGGTTGGAGGAGGTGGAGGGTGGGGGTGGTGGGTGAATTACAGGAAGGGCATCCAATGAAACCCCACCCCAGATTTACCAGCAACCAGTCACATGATGTGGCCCATCCAGTGACAGAGGAATTCATCGTTTGACGAATTCTTCTGTCGTCTTTATTTGAACCAATTCATTCATATCTTCTGATTCTGATTCATGGTGTGGTTTGAATGAGGTCACTGAGAATATCTGGGTCAGTTGAAAAGTCGGTGAAAGTCCGAGTTATTATTTGGGACATTAAACTGTTCACTAACTGAACTATCTTAACTAACTACCATCCCTGTCTACTCAACGATCCCTCCACCAATTACAATTCAACATGAATAAATAAACCGTACGAGAATCAGTGACTTATTTTTCAATGTATTTATCAAATATATATTTATAATAAAACTTCAGTTCTCACCTCCTCTCTGCCTCCAGTCGTGTACATTTATGCTCTGATTTCTTTAACCAATCATATGTCAGCCATTATTGTTGCCAGGGCCAAAGTAATCTGCCCACGACCGGAGCCTAAGACGAATGGCAGTGATTTGAATTGTTACTTTAACCAATGAATTTAGAGTTGGCGCCACCTGAAGGCGGACAGTCCTGTTGGCAATTTGAGCGATTGTTCAGAGAGTCTCCAGTCCAACGAACTGCAGCCACGTTCACATTCTCGGCCGTACAACCATGGACGGACTGGACTTTAGCATTAGCATTTCAGAAAAGAAGTGGAACACTGGAAGAATCTGAAGAGCAGAGTCATTGAACGCCTCTTAAGGACAGAGAGGAGGAGGAGGGACGTCTTTTTATGATATTCTAATGTCATCTGTCGTGTCAGGTTCTAGGTGTAATGGATTCTCTTTAACACAAATATACAGCACAGAAGTTCACTGGCAGTGGTGCGTTCAGGAACACCACTACATACAGTAATGTACAGCACTGGACTGATTCACAGGGCCTCACATTCAAATCTACTGCCGTACTTTCTGTACTATAAGTCGCACCAATGCCCTCTAGTGGCTCTCAGTGTAAAAATAACAAACATGTAAAATTATATATTTTAATATCGCACCTGAGCATAAGTGGCAAACATTGGATGAAAAGAGTGTGACTTATATTACGGAGAATAGGGTGTACGTTTTATTTTGAAATAGGTTATTTTCTTGACTATGTTGTTTTTCCTGTCTGTTTATATCACTGTCATGGGTGAGACTGTTGTCAGTGTGACTGTTGTCAGTGGGTCTGTTGACAGTGGGACTGTTGTCAGTGGGACTGGTGTCAGTGAGACTGTTGACAGTGGGACTGTTGTCAGTGGGACTGTTGTCAGTGAGACTGTTGCCAGTGTGACTGTTGTCAGTGAGACCGTTGTCAGTGAGACTGTTGACAGTGTGACTGTTGTCAGGGGGACTGTTGTCAGTGGGACTGTTGGCAGTGAGACTGTTGTCAGTGGGACTGTTGGCAGTGAGACTGTTGTCAGTTGGACTGTTGTCAGTGAGACTGTCGTCAGTGAGACTGTTGTCAGCGAGACTGTTCTCAGTTGGACTGTTGTCAGTTGGACTGTTGTCAGTTGGACTGTTGTCAGTGAGACTGTTGACAGTGTGACTGTTGTCAGTGGGAGTGTTAGTGTGACCGTTGTCAGTGAGACTGTTGTCAGTGAGACTGTTCTCAGTTGGACTGTTGTCAGTGAGACTGTTGTCAGTGAGACTGTTGTCAGTGTGACTGTTGTCAGTGAGACTGTTGACAGTGTGACTGTTGTGAAGTTGTTCAACTTTAGTCCAGTTGCAGGTCTTTCCTCAGGACGGAGGACAGGGTCTTCAGAGTGTGAAACAGACTGTGTCTGCTAATGGCCTCAGACAGTGGGCAGTTCAAGGACATTAACATGGTTTATGGAACTGTGGCAAGATCTGTGTGGGCTTCAGGCCCCGCCCCCAAACTTAGAAATCATCAAGAGCTACACAGTTGCTGTGTTTTGGCCAGTCTTTCTGTAAAGAACCAGTCAGATAAGAACCAAGGTACGACTGTTGGACCAGTGACTGATGGACCAGTGACTGATGGACCAGTGACTGTTGGACCAGTGACTGTTACAGTTGTTTACATTTACAAAAGTAATTTGTTACAGAGATAAACATGTTATATTAATAATAATTATAATAATATTACGTATTATAATTGTTATTGTTATTATGAGTAGTCGTAGTAGTCGTAGTACTCGTAGTAGTCGTAGTAGTAGTAGTAGTAGAGGTGAAGACTATTACAATTATATGAAATATTTTAAAAACACTTTGAAGTACAGATTCATAAAACTAGTAGTACGTTTTAAAACGTTTTAAAACAAAGGTCCCGGTTAAAATGATGCTGTCGTACAGCAGTAGTGTTGGACTGCCATCTAGTGGAACGACACGGTATCACTTTTATTTTCTACCAGAGATGGTTACATGTACACGAGATTAGGAAAAGTCCAGTGGTGACGTTCTCTGAGGCTCTCAATCAACATGCAGTTTGATCTAATTACTGAGGTGGCGCTGTTTGTCCCTGTCACATTCAGAATATCCATCATTTGTTCCAACACCTGAACGTCTCCTCACTTGTTCTGCTCGTGTTCGAACTTGAACCAACAAACTCCTGCCAGAAGTAGTTTTACAGACAGGAGGAAAAAGTGAAAGAGACGAAGAACGGAACGTAGATCTGTTCTCCTGAGAACATCTGTGGGTGGGGGGGGCGGTCAGTAAATGACAGACCACATCAGTCAGTGCTGCAGTACAGACCATACATACTGTATATATACACACATGTACTGTGTGTACATACATGTACAGGGCAGTCACTCCTTCAATATTTCTTTGATTTAAATCTACCGTGTGTGCCGTCGTGTGGACTGACCAGCAGGGGGCCTCAGTGTTTATAAAATAGTATGAATGTGTTTGTGTATATGTTGCTGTCCTTTTACTTTTTAGGTTTTATATTTATTTTCAAATCTTCAGGTTGTTTAATATAATGTTTGTCTGTCTGTCTGTACCTGTGTTTGTACTGCTGTAGTACTGCTGTAGTACTGCTGTAGTACTGCTGTACTGGAGCCTGAATAATAAAGTTCTATCTAAAGTAATAAAATAATAATGAGTATTTAATCCTACAAGGTATTTGTTTGGGTTTTAAAGTAAACCAGGTGTAGTCCCAGTGACAGTCAGAATCTTTCAAAGGATTAAACCCTTTGAACAGACGTCAGTGTTGTCAGTGTTGTCAGTGTAGTCAGTGTTGTCAGTGTTAACCTGCTCCTCCTGAACTGCCCCTGGTCCCACTTGGCCACCGTCCCACACGTCCAAAGTCCAGGCTCGTATAATGACAATGATCTGACCTCTGACCCTGACTCTGCCGTCGTCAGTCGTCCACCAGGGCTGGTTAAACCAGGTGAAAGAAGAAGTACGGTACAGACACAGTACCGGACGCAGTACTGGACGCAGTACAGTTCATATCCTTCATATGTCATGGATTTCTTCTGATGTTTGTATCTTCATCTGTGACGTCAACGTTAGGGTTAGGGTTAGGTTCCTGGGAACAAACGTCACCACTGTACAGTCGTCCCTGTACAGTGGTACCTGTACAGTCGTCCCTGTACAGTCGTCCCTGTACAGTCGTCCCTGTACAGTCGTCCCTGTACAGTCGTCCCTGTACAGTCGACCCTGTACAGTGGTACCTGTACAATGGCACCTGTACAGTCGTCCCTGTACAGTGGTACTTGTACAGTGGTACCTGTACAGTCGTCCCTGTACAATGGTACTTGTACAATGGTACTTGTACAGTCGATCTTTGCTGTTGACGTCAATCCAGAGAAGTGTGAGAACTGAGGCTTCCTCAATCCTCAAGATAATGATTGACCAATCAGAGGAGAGCTGGCTGGGCTGACTGCTGGAGGAGTGGACCTCTGTCTGGAATGTGTTGGCAACTACAGAGGGGGAGTTAGAAAACACAGTAGAAACTGAAGTTCAAATCACTGAAATACTGCAGTATTTTTTACTAAACTTTTTCAGTTAAAACAGAACTTTGTTTGGTTTCTTCTTCTAGTACAGACGTCCACCAGGGGTCATTCAAACCCACGACTAATCTCTGGACATCACATGGAAAGGCTCCGTGTTCGGAGGTCAGAGGTCACACCAAAGGTCACTCCTTCACTTCACTCCTTTAGTGGTGACTTAGTGGTTAAGGAAGTGGACTTGGGTCTGGAAGGTTTCAGGTTCGAGTCCACCAGCTGCCGAGTTTCCACTGAGGTGCTCTGAGCATGGCACCGTCTCCACTCGTTGCTGCCCCCTGCTGGCTGTGGTGATGGGTCTAGTTAGAGCCTTGTTGTTGTTGTTGTTAATTATTAAAGAGCTCGACTCTGAATCCAACATTTCTGAGGTGAAATAAATAAATAAATGTTGACATTTCATCAGTGGCGCCAGCCCCCCCCTCCAGCCCCCCCTCCAGCCCCATCCCTTAGCCACTCCCCCTGCCGCCCCCCCGCCCCCCCCAACGCCCACGCCACACCGCGTTATTTATACAGCCGTTCCAGTTCCAG